ATTAAAATTAATTACTATAAATTTAATAGTTATTACTAATAATTATTTATTAATATTAGTAATTAGTATTTATTAATAATAAATAACAATCAATATTAGTGAAGGTTATAACTAACTAAAATGACAATAAGCTCCAAAAACGTTATTCCAACTAACAGACGTATGCTTAAAAAATAATATAGTTTATAATAAGTTATAATTATTTTTTGAGTATAATAAGCTAATATCTTATGTTTATCAAACAATGCCTGAATGATCGTTTTAGATGGAAAAAATAATGTAAATAATAGTTTAAAATAAAAGTTTTCATGATTAACTATCATAATATATAAAGTTTTCAAAAAAATTAATTCCTCATTGTAATTACTAAAAATATCTTCCATCATCAAAGCTTAAATAGAGTACCTTTTCTGTCTTTACATATAAAATAACTGCATATTTTTCGATTCTATCCTAATTATAAAAAATTGTCATTTAGTTATTTAATAATGAGAATTATATAATAGGACATATTTTTTTCTCAAACCAAAACTTTTAATTTACTATTCCAAAATATTTGAGTTTTATGAATGAAAATCTACATATTTAACTTTTAATTTTAATTTATAATAAAAATGTGCATTTAATTTAATGCTTTATATAGTTTAAAAAGTGTAATATTTTAAAAGCATATCAGATTTTATATATGCTGCGTCAGCACCACATCAAATACTATGATAGAAACTCTAAACCTTTAATTTTATTATTAAAAAAATAATCAGGAAGATATGATTTTGACGGAGTATGAGGATAAGATTGTTTGTTATATGTAATCAAAAAGCTTTTAAATGAATTTTTTTCCAAATAATTATGGTTGGTTTGGTGAATGAAATTTGTTGGTTATTAGTCTATGCCATGCATGATGATGCTTTGAATGTGCTGAATTGATTAAGTTGTTAAATTTATTTTAATTAACTTTTTATAGTTGATTCAGATTTTACTAACACAAGGGTGTGTATGGGTACTTAGTCGTCTTAACATCTAAGAGCCTTTGATCACATATGATTTTTAATCTAAAGACACACAAACATATTTTATATATATATATATATATATATATATCTCTTCATGCTCTCTTAGTTTTTATTTATCTTTCCAATTAAAAAATTAATGATTTTAATTTCTCTTAGGTGATGTGAATGACACATTATTTTGATGACTTAACAAAAATTAAAATAAAAACATATTTCAAATTATTATTAGTGATTTTAATTTTTCATTGCTATAATCTAAAAAATATTTAATTTTTTTTTTACTTTTTCTTATTAAGTTGCATGCAAATTAAATATTCTCAGAGTAAAATATTTATTAAATAAATATGAAACATTATTTTCGAGATATATTTTGTTTGTAAAAAAAAATAACTTTTCCTATTTTATGTTGTTCAAATAAATACATATCTTTTAAAATTTTCTTTAAAATATTAACGAAATAAATTGTTATCTACAATTTTTTAATATTGTTATGTTAATAAATATTTCAAAAAAATCTAATTAATTTAATATTATACGTCAAGTAAAAAGTTTTTGAACAATATAATATATTCTTTAAAAGATAATACTTTTTTGGTAAAAAAGAAACAATTCTTATTTTTTTTTTTCAAAAAACACGTATTTTAAAAAAAATATTAGCGAGATAAGTTGTGTTCTACTAGTTTTATTGATATTGATATATTAATGAATAATTTAGAATTTTTTAATTCATTTAATACATTTATTAAATAACATGTAAAATATCTAAATATTAAAATTAAAAATACAGTGTTTACTAAGAACTGGTAGATGCTATAATAAAATAATTTTGAAAGTACATGATGTATGAAAGTTACATCACTATAGTACATGTGGACAGCCTACGTGGACAATGAAGTGGCATGGAAACCTAGTATAATGGGTATATTTAAATCAAAAGGTTATCTAATGCTATAATGTGTAAATTTTTCAAAGTATAATGTCATAATAAAAAATAGTTTGAAAGTACATTCTTGTAACAAGAAAAACTAAAAGTACAATGCTATAATAAAAAAATTTATAAAAGTAGATTGTTATTTTATGTATTTTGCTCTTAAACAAATTAGTTAATAAATGTTGATGATAAGGCACAATCATTTGTTAACCAAGTAAATAGTTGTATTAACGATTACTACTAAATGAGAGGTTATAAAATGATGAAAAATGAAATAATTAAATTGATTTAAATGGACATCAATTGTGAAACAAATTGTTTTATTTTTGGAATATAATCATGTTTTATTTGGTGTTCGTTTAAAGTTCATAGTGTTGTTTCATTTATGAACTTCGAATGTTCTGATTTTTGTTTATAAGTGAAACAATGATTTTTGTTTGATGTTCATAATGTTGTTTATTGTATAAATATTGGTTGTTCCAAAAAACTGATAATCAGAAAGTAAATAAGATAATTAAGAAAGTTTAAACAAAATAAATAAGATAATTAAAAAACATAATAATTAAATAAATAAGATAAACAAGGAATATGATATCAATACATGAAAAAAAACGAAAATAACTTAATTTACAAATTGCTTACTAATTAGGTTGTTAATGAAAAACAGTTGGCTTGATACAATTCATGGTTGATTTGTGACACCAATCAATTTGTAATCAACCCTAAATATAATTTAATAAGTCAAACTTAAGAAATATAAATCACTAATGTTTTGTAAGGTTAATTAACTTGTAAGTATATTTATAAATAACTAGAAGCGTACTCGCGTAATGCAGCAAGATATATCGTGATTTTAATATTTCAATTTATTCTTTATCTCAGTCGATTTTATAATATGGCATTATATGATTTTGAGAAAACGATGATGTTTTTATTTTTGAATAAAATATATGTTTGAAAATATCATAAAAATTTGACAAAAATATATCGATATTAGTATCAAATTAACTATTTCAAATTCTTCATTTTTTTGTTTAATTTTTTAA